GAGTCGCCAGGGTCCCTCTTCGACCGGGTGTTCCAGTCGAAAACCGGACACCTGGTCACCCTACCCTTCACCCGAGGCCCCACTCCTGAGCTTCCTCTTCCCCCGAAGACCCTGTCCCCCGCTCCCTCTTCTCTACCCCTTCCCCCTGTTCTGGCACCCCTGCTTTGCCATCATCCATGCACTATACACATGGAAACATTTTCAATCCAACACCAGCACTTGTACAGTTGTGGTGGGAAGGCTTTTGTGTCAAAGGAAGTGGGCCCAGACTGGGAGATGGGGTCAGGAAACTAATTGGAACTGGCTATTGTCAAATGGTTTGTATTTTAACAGGGAAAGAGCTTTCTGTGATCAGGATTTAGATTCAGTCTTGTGTCATTTACTCAGCCAGATATAGACTCAGAGTGCAGTTCACAACGGTGAATTAGAGGAAGTTTGTCTGTTCGCCCTTCCCCATCTACTGTATGTAAGCAATGCTGCCATATGGGTGTTCTCTGTATAGAACCATGTCCTTTTGTGCCTTCACAGTGTGAGTTCTTCACAGTAGGGGCCACTTTATTTGGTGCCATTCACCTAGGGCCAGATTTTCAAATGTGGGGGCCTACAGTTGTGAACGTAACTCTGTATTTAGATACCTACATACCCGTTTTAGACATCCCTCGCCTAATTTAGGTACTTTGATTTTGCAACCTAGCTTTAATTCAATGACTTCAGTGAGCTACCAGGCAGGCACACCAGTCTGCTATTTATCAATAGCAGGTTTGGAGCCTAGATTTTTTGATATACCCTCCTGACAACTCCATCACTCCGTAATGTCCCAGGAATTGTCATTATTCTCATGCTGTGACATGTAAAGAAACCCATTCCGGAAACAGGACAGAGTTTGCAACCTATACAGTTCTATCACTATGGCTCTGCAGTAGAGTTGGTTGGGAATTTTTCAACTAAATATTTTTTCGTCAGAAAAAGCCAATTTGTCAAAACCAAAACTTCATAGGGGAAGAGTCTTTTTCAGTGAATTTCTTGATTCAAAATATTTTTTAAAGAAGTTTAAAAATTGATGAAAAAAAATTGTTTTCCTGTTTTCAAAATGACTTTTTTGTTTTGAAATTTAAGCTAAGTAGAGGAAAATTAAAACTGATAAAAGTGTAAACAAAACATTTTAATTGACCCAAACAGAAAAAAAACAGCTTTTCAATTTGTGAAAATTTTCAAGGTTTCTCCTTTTGTCCTGATTTGAAATGGGGAAAAAAAATGAAATCTCAAAACTTCGGTAGGACAGGAAAACTTCCCCACCCAGCTTTACTCTGCAGTTCATTGGCTGGGCGTGGGGAAGGAGGCAAATAGCAAAGAGGTGGGGGAATTGGGAGGGTTGCTGAATACTTACTGCCTAGCTCAAGCAAGACTTGATGCAAGAGTCCCTTTTGCTGCACATACTGTAATTTAAAGTTTGGACGGTTTGATTTTGCCCCATAGTGACTTCTGATGCGCCTCTGATGAAAAACAGTCAAATGAAAGAGTCCCATTCAATTACATCATATAATGACAGACAGCTAAAAAGTGCTTATATACAAATGCTAGAAGTCTAAATAATAAGATGGGTGAACTAGCGTGCCTCATATTAAATTAGGATATTGATATAATAGGCATCACAGAAACTTGGTGGAATGAGGATAATCAATGGGACACGGTAATACCAGAGTACAAAATATATTGGAAGGATAGAACAGGTCATGCTGGTTGGGGAGTGGCACTATATATGAAAGAAAGTGTAGAATCAAATGAAGTAAAAATATTAAATGAACCATACTGTTCCATAGAATATCTATGGATAGTAATTCCATGCTCTAATAATAAGAATATAGCAGTAGGGTTATATTACCGACCACCTGACCAGGATGGTGATAGTGACTGTGAAATGCTCAGGGAGATTAGAGAGGCTATTAAAATAAAAAACTCAATAATACTGAAGGATTTTTACTATCCCCATATTGACTGGATACATGTCATCTCAGGACGGGATGCAGAGATAAAGTTTCTTGACACCTTAAATGACTGCTTCTTGGAGCAGCTAGTCCTGGAACCCACAAAAGGATAGGCAATTCTTGAATTAGTCCTAAGTGGAGCACAGGATTAGGTCCAAGAGGTGAATATAGCTGGACCGCTTGGTAATAGTGACCAAAATATAATTAAATTTAACATCCCTGTGACAGGGAAAACATCAGAGCAGCCCAACACCATAGCATTTAATTTCAGAAAGGGGGACTACACAAAAATGAGGAAGTTAGTTAAACAGAAATTAAAAGGTACAGTGCCAAAAATGAAAGTTAAATTCTAATGAGGAAAATAGAAAGGCACATAAACTCTGGCAAATGAAGTGTAAAAATACAATTAGGAAGGCCAAAAAAGAATTTGAGGAACAGCTAGCCAAAGACTCAAAAAGTAATAGCAAAAAAAAATAATTTTTTTTACATACATCAGAAGCAGGAAGCTTGCTAAACAACCAATGAGGCCACTGGATGATCGAGATGCTAAAGGAGCTCTCAAGGACGATAAGGCTATTGCAGAGAAAATAAATGAATTCTTTGCATTGGTCTTCATGGCTGAAGATGTGAGAGAGATTCCCAAACCTGAGCCATTCTTTTTAGGTGACAAATATGAGGAACTGTCCCAGATTGAGGTATCATTAGAGGAGGTTTTGGAACCAATTGATAAACTAAACAGTAATAAATCACCAGGACTAGATGGTATTCACCCAGGAGTTCTGAAGGAACGCAAATGTGAAATTGCAGAACTACTAACTGTAGTTTGTAACCTATCATTTAAATCAGCTTCTGTACAAAATGACTGGAGGGTAGCTAATGTGATGCTAATTTTTAAAAAGGGCTCCAGAGGTGACCCCAGCAATTTCAGACCAGTAAGCCTGACTTCAGTACTGGGCAAACTGGTTGAAACTATAGTAAAGAACAAAATAGTCAGATACATAGATGAACATAATTTCTTGGGAACATAAATTCATGGTTTTTATAAAGGGAAACCATGCCTCATCAATCTACTGGAATTCTTTGAGGAGGTCAACAAGCATGTGGACAATGGGAATCCAGTGGATATAGTAGTGTACTTAGATTTTCAGAAAGTTTTTGACAAGGTCCCTCACCAAAGGCTCTTAAGCAAAGTAAGCTGTCATGGATAAGAGGAAAGGCCCTCTCATGGATTGGTAATTGGTTAAAAGATAGGAAACAAAGAGTAGAAATAAATTATCAGTTTTCAGAATTGGTAAGAGAGGTAAACAGTGGTGACCCCAGGGGTCTGTACTGGGCCCATAGAATCATAGAAGATTAGAGTTGGAAGAGACCTCAGGAGGTCAACTAGTCCAACCCCCTGCTCAAAGCAGGACCAACGCCAACTAAATCATCCCAGCCAGGGCTTTGTCAAGCCAGGCCTTAAAAACCTCTAAGGATGGAGATTCCACAACCTCCCTAGGTAACCCATTCCAGTGCTTCACCACCCTCCTAGTGAAATAGTGTTTCCTAATATCCAACCTAGACATCCTCCACAGCAACTTGAGACAATTGCTCCTTATTCTGTCATATGCCACCACTGAGAACAGCCTCACTCCATCCTCTTTGGAACTCCCCTTCAGGTAGTTGAAGGCTGCTATCAAATCCCCTCCTCACTCTTCTCTTTTGCAGACTAAACATGTCCAGTTCCCTCAGCCTCTCCTCATAAGTCATGTGCCCCAGCCCTGATCATTTCTGTTGCCCTCTGCTGCATTCTCTCCAATTTGTCCACATCCTTTCTGTAGAGGGTGGCCCAAAACTGGACACAGTACTCCAGATGTGGCCTTACCAGTGCCGAATAGAGGGAAATAATCATTTCCCTCGATCTGCTGACAATGCTCTTTCTAATGCAGCCCAATATGACCAGTCCTATTCAACATATTCATAAATGATCTGGAAAAAGGGGTAAACAGTGAGGTGGCAAAATTTGCAGATGATACAAAACTACTTAAGATAGTTAAGTACAAAGTAGACTGTGAAGACTTATAAAGTGATCTCACAAAATTAGGTGACTGGGCAACAAATGGCAGATGAAATTCAGTATTGGTAAATGAAGAGTAATGCACATTGAAAAATATAATCCCAACTGTACGTATAAAATGATGGTGTCTAAATTAGCTGTTACCACTCAAGAAAGAGATCTTGGAGTCATTGTGGATAGTTCTCTGAAAACAGCCACTCAATGTGCATCGGCAGTCAAAAAAAGTGAATGGAATGTTGGGAATCATTAAGAAAGGGATAAATAATAAGACAGAAAATATCATATTGCCTCCATATAAATTCATGGCATGCTCATATCTTGAATATTGCGTGCAGATGTGGTTGTCCCATCTCAAAAAAAGATGTATTGGAATTGGAAAAGGTTCAGAAAAGGGCAACAAAAATGTTTAGAGGTATGGAACAGCTTCCATATGACTGGGCCTTTTCAGCTTGGAAAAGAGATGACTAAGGTGCGATATGATAGAGGTCTATAAAATCATGACTGGTGTGAAGAAGGTAAATAAGAACATGTTATTTACTCCTTCTCATAACATAAAAACTAGGGGTCACAAAATGAAATTAATAGGCAGCAGGTTGAAAACAAACAAAAGGAAGTATTTTTTCACACAACGCACAGTCAACCTGTGGAACTCCTTGCCAGAGGAAGGCCAAGACTATAACAGGGTTAAAAAAAGAACTGGATAAGTTCATGGAAGATAGGTCCATCAATGGCTATTAGCCAGGATGGGCAGGGATGGTGTCCCTAGCCTCTGTTTGCCAGAAGCTGGGAATGGGATACAGGGGATGGATCATTTGATGATTACTTGGTCTGTTCATTCCCTCTGGGGCACCTGGCATTGGCCACTATTGGAAGACAGGATACTGGGCTAGATGGACCTTTGGTCTAACCCAGTGTGGCCGTTCTTATGTTCTCTCATTTCCTGTCTCCCTCTCTTACAGGCTACAATCGGAATCGACTTCTTATCAAAAACCATGTACTTGGAAGATCGGACAGTAAGTGGCAGACGCTGCTGAACCGCTGACCATGCCAAAAGAAGTTCTGTGCAGACCCCTGTGGAAGAGGGAGCCACTAGCTATAATCCCTTCTTTGCTGTCCAAACCTACCCCAGCAAATACCCCAGCTGGGCCCCTCTCTTTCTCTTCGTGCTGCCAATGTTTGAATTTCACAGATGGCTTCACCCACAGTTTGGGTACTTAAGGGGACTGAAATCCCCTTCCCCTGCCTCCATGCACAGTAACTTCCCCCATGTGGCTTCGCTGCTGAGCTCCTCCACCCCACTTTGAGAAGTCACCTCACTAGTAGTGGGGTGCAAGGATGGCTGCATACCAGAATGACAGTTGTCGCCTCCCTTGAGCAGAGAGGGACAGTTGGGTTAGGGTGAACGTTGAACATTTCCACCAAGGACTGATCTCAGAGTACCAAAGCCCTAGGCCATCCAAGTCATCAGGAACCCACAGACACACGACTGTGCTGAAGGAGTCCAGTTGATTGACACACTTACATCAAACACCCCAAAGGAGGGAACTTTGACACAACAGCCAACTCTGTCCCAGCCCCGCACATAGAGCCTAGAGACCCCCGTCTCCACTGTCCTTCTGCTCCCCTCCACCCCATGGAGGCCCTGACCTTGTGTGGACAGGGTTCTGTCCCCACATGTATACACACGTCACACCCCATGAAAGTGCTTGGAACAATAACAGCCTTCGTATCAGGGGAAGCAAGGGCAGCTCCCTCCATGAGGCGCCAGGGGTACAAATTGCCACACAGGGGGAGGGGAGAGGCAATTAGATGGCCCTGTTTCCTCTCTTCCATGCTGGCTGGCTGCTCCGGGCAGGAGCATGGGGCAGTGTGTGCATTCCTGGGAGCACTGAGGGAGATTGGGCCTCCATTCCCTCTTGACTCTCCCCTTGGGGTGATGCACCTTCACACCCGCCCGTCCAGTCTACTTTAAGACCAGATTGGGCAGTCCATGGCCAGGTAGGCCACTCTCTCTTCTAACTCCCACGCAGGCCTTTCTGCCCCTGGAGAGCAATGATCACATGTAGCTAGCACCACAACTCACCCCAAATGGGCTGGAGAAGGGGAAGGGTTGTGCCAGCGAGGGGCATGTGCAGTGCCTCCCTGTGCAACCTGTGGGGTGGGACTGCCTGCTCCTAGTGCAGATCAGTGCTTTCAAGGCACAGTTGAGCCCTGAGGAGGTGGGAAGAAATGCCCTGGCTCTTCAGTTTTGCTGGACAAGGGCAAGAGGTTATCCCTACTGGCCAGCCATCCCCTGTAATCTGCCAGCTCACAGATCGTACAGAAAATGGCACTAGAAGGAAATCTGTTTCAAGTTTTTGATTTATTGATTTTTGGGGAAAATTTTGTACAAGGTAATGGGAGAAATGGAAGTGAAATGTAATGAGATGCTACAGCTTCATCCATAAACAGCCTCTCACCACTGTCACAGTGTTAATGCACTCAGAGACATCTGTCTTGGGTTTAATGGGCTGGTTCTATTTCAAACAGCACTCCAGTCTTTCTGATGAAATCCACTGCTCAGCCGCAGTCAGAGTGGAGGAGTGACTACAGGAAGGCATGGCTACATTCCTTCAAAGGGAATTTGTCTCCGACCCAAGAGTTGGAGGGTGAAGACAATTCAGCTCCCACAATTTTTTAAAAACATCATAGTCTTAGGCCTTTGAAATGGTGTGGGTAGACACAGTGCTCATGAATGTGAGGGACTAACCTCACAGCGCTGAGTCATTAGAATTCAAGTTGGCACTGAACAAGCTCCCCCTAACACAGCTCTGCCAGTGCACCAAGGTCCTGACCTGTAATACTAGGCCTGAGCAAGGACTGAGAATCATTGGATGGTGGGGATAGGGGAGATAAACAAATAGGGACTAGGCTGGGGCTCACCAAACTCATGTCTTCTAATGATCTAAGATTTGAAATCAGGTTTCCAGGGGTGATAGGCAACCATTTACTCAATACACACACTTAATTCCCTGTTTGCACCTCTCTTTCGGGTTCAGGTTTTCATATGCATCCTTTTACCAGTGGACTCCACCCCTGCCCAAGGAGAATGAGCCTTTTCGTGTCCAGCCTCCATCTCACTTCTCGACAATTGGACGCCAGCTGTGACCTGGGATTCCTCATACAGCCGCATTTTTCTTTAGTCAGAGGAGTTGTTCCATAGGAGACAGGGGCTGGAATTTTCAATGGGGCCCAAAGGAGTTGATGTTCAGTGGGGAATGTGGTGCCTAATTCCCTTAAATTCTTTTGGCTTACAGATGTATTTCCAGAGGCAGGTATAAATATGCAGGCAAGAATCAGTCTAGAGATAACAAGGTTAGTTCAATCAGGGAGGACGGGGCCCTC